CCCCAACCCCTGCAGACCCCCCCAATGAGCAGATCAGCCCAGCAGGTGCTTCAGCTTCTCTTTATTGATGGACAGTTGTGCTCTCCCACCCCAAGGCCCGTCAGAGTGCTGGGTGAGGGGGGAAGGGACTCTGGGATGGTGGGGGGACACGACTAACACAGGAGACAACGCTGTAGGGGAGCACGGGAAGCTCTTGCACGGAGCCAACACCCTCCTCCTGCCCCCATGCCCAAAATAACCGGAGAGGGGGCTGGATTCACTTCAGACTGGGCCTGGGGAGGTGTGTGGCCCCATGGGAAGGGGTGAGTAGCAGCTTGCCTCGAGCGAGGGGTCCGGCGGAACCATTGACCACACATCGCCTCTCCTTCCCCAGTCCCCCAGAGCAGGGCCGGGAAAAGGACATTTTACACCCTGAGGACAGTCACCAGGAACCTCCTATGCCGACTCCAACACACATCAAGGCAGGACTTCACTACGGGGGAGAGGTTTTTTAAAAAACTAAACACTTCAAGTATATTTCTTTTAGTGATTTAAGGTCTCTTGCCCCTGCTGCTGCTGCACTGGGTGGTGTTTAGCAACCTACATCCACTCTAGGGACAAGGAGAACAGCGCAAGCAATGGCTGGTCTAATGCAAGAGGAGAGGGGGAGGGAAGGTGGGAAGGGAGGTGGGCAGGGGAAGGGAAGGCTGAGTCTGGTGCTCAGGGAACGGGCACCACACGCATGGTGTTGGTGTAGCCGGAGCCGGGGCGCCAGCCCGTCAGCACAATGACCAGGTCGCCGCTCTTGAAGAACCCACGGGCTTTGCCTGGGAGAGAAGAGAGAGGGGTCAGAGCCCAGGTCCACCCTGTCCCTCACCCACTTGTCACCAGCTCCCTGAGCCACCAAAGCTGCCTGCCCCACGGCAGTCGTGGCTCCTGGTGCGTATCAAGACATCCCCCCCACTTCCTGCTGTCCACCCATCTGCTTTGGGGTTCTCTGCCAACACAGAGCCTGGAATTCCACAACGTAGGATTTGGAGGGGCTGGAGAACAGTCACCCTGCTCCAGGTTTCCCCTGTCTCTCAGAGCGATGAGTGTCACAGTTCCATCACTCAGCACCTTAAAACCAACCCGATCTTCTGCAGAAACCCCTTCTAAGGCAGCTGTGACAAACCCACTGCCCCATTTCCCAATCGGATGCTGCTGAGCCCACCCAACTACCACGGGTTTCCCAACGGGATCCGGTTACCACACAGGCAGCCAGTTCCTCTCCCTGTCACCAGAGCCCATGTTCACCCCAAAGCCCCACCCGGGGGCTCAGGGCCCCCCATCACTCACCGACGTTCATTCCCAGGGTGACGCGCAGATCCACGTCCTCGGCCCAGGCGTCCTGGGCGGGGTCCTTGCAGAGCACGGGGAAGATGCCGCGGTACAGGTGGGCCTGGCGGGCTGTCTGCTCGTTGCGGGTGATGGCGATGATGGGGGCGCGGGGGCGGTACCGCGACACCAGGTGTGCTGACCTGTGGGGAGAACGCACCCGGTGGAGCCCCATGTGC